AACTTTCGAGACAACAAGTGGACAGGAGTGTAATGTCATCAAAAGTGAAATCAAACACTTTGAGGAACATAATAGACAACGTTGGCTTCTTTCGCAGCTGCTCAACGTTGTCTCTCCCGATGGTCCCAACACTCTCTTCTTCTTTTTTTGTCAACATTCAAACGTTGTTTAAAATAAATAAAAATGTTTAACCTTAATCATCTTTCTAGATCTTTAAATGCCTAAAACTTCAACTTAATCAGTCAGCAATCCGTCACGTTAATGATTTTGAAAGGAAGACTTTTGTTTTGTTTCGGTTAGTTTTGTTTGTTTAGTATTTTAATCACAAGATAACTCTAATTTCCCATTAGAGTTGTGTTAATTGTGTTGATTATGATTTGGCGTTTCAATTCTGATATTATTTTTATGTTGTAAATCTTAAACTGTTACGTTATTGTTCTATCTTCCTATGTGAGAAAAAAGTAAAATGTTTTAAAATTTTGACATGGATAATAGTATAATTGTAAATCTATAATAATTATATTATCATTTTATTTATATTTTTCAAAAAGAAATATATTTATCTTAATAGATTCAATATGATAATGTCAAATATAGTTATAAATCTAAAAGAGTTATGTTATTATTCCATCCTTTTATGAGAAAAAAGCAGATATTCTCTTAAACTTTTAAATTAACGTGGATAATAATAAATAAATAATAATTTTACTAATATGATAATGATTCGGTTTTAATCTTACCAAAAAACAAATAATGATTCTGTTTTAAAAATATATAAATTTTCTTTGTTTAGTTGTAGATATTGTCATATAAAAAATTCTTAGATCCTCCACTGCCTTAATTTTATGTAAATACCTTGCTTGATATTTAATTTTGATTTGATATCATAACTAATCCTTGCTTTTTTTTTTCGGCACTAACCATTGAATTTTTTATACTGCCATTTAATTCTTGCATAAAAAATAATAATTAATAGTAGTGTTTATTATGAATGCAGGTTTGTTTTCCATAAAAACTAGATTGGATTTATGGAAGCACGTCATTGTTTCCAGTGCGAGGAAACAAATGTCGTATCACTGCTGTTGTGGCTCTTTAGTACTTTCGTTTCTGTTTATGGCTTTGCTTCGGTTGTATGGTTAGTCATCAATCATTGATCTTCTCATTGTTTGAATATTGTTGCATAGGAAAAATCTTCCTTTTTTTATAAATCTTTCAAAAGTTGGGTCCATGCTATTCTCAGTGATTGATTACGTTTATTGAATATTTGTGTGCTTCCTCTGCTGATATTCTAATTCATGCTTTATTCGTCGTCTTTGATACACTCTGATTAACCATTGTGGACCTCTAGAGTCTAATTTGCAATATTAATGCAAGTCTCTTTAACTTACGGATTATGAAGAGCATCCTAAGATCGTTTAATTTGATTCAGGCTTTATGTGGCTAATGTTTGGTCTTGGATGTGAATTAGTCTATCATGTTTCTTGGAAGGTAGGAAGCAATCTTGATGTTTACCAAAATCCAATGTGCTCTTTTGTAGCTCAGTTTTGAAATATGTACTAATTATTGTAGAGGGAACCCGAAACAAAGAGACCATATGTATGATTTTATATGCGAAGAGAAGCTCCGAATTTGAAATCGTCTCCACTCCGGTGATATGTGGCCATGGTGTGAAGGAGTCTGGAGCCATGGTTATTTCAGATTCGGACATAACCTTAATTGTTAAACTAATAAAAATAAGATCAAACGTACCAGATTGATGAGAATTTTTGGTGTTCTTCGTCATGTTCTTCGTCGTATGGATCTAACAAAACAAAAAAAAAATATATACCCCAGAATTTTTTTTTGTTTGTTAATAGAGAGAACCCACCAATTTTGTAGCGTTGATTGTGACATCGAATTGTTTGTCGGATGAATATAAGTCTCTAATCCGGAGACTGAAGTTGAACCCTAACAAAAACATATATTCATAGCATAAAATTCATAAATAAAAGGTAGAGCATCACATAGCTTTTTCTTCAAAGCCAACACATCTCTCTTTGTAGCCGAATTACTCTCCAGTTTGGTATATACTCAAATTTTCCAATGACTTCCTTCTCGAACCTGGAGCGTTTTTGCTTTGCCGGATATTTTTAGGATATGGCTCTTATGTATCTCTTGTGAGTCACTTGATATGTTGTTTAGGTAAAACTTTTGGTTTGAAAGAGAATGATCTACGACAAGCATAATCGGTTATTTGTTATATATGTGGCCATGTTCATATTGCTTTCTCCACAAGCAATTTTCCAGTTTTGTAGCATTCGATATTTAAATTTAAAAGCTTCAATACGTTGTATACATGTGTATGTATGTACATATATGAATTATTCTCAGTTGCACATAGTGGTTTCTAATGGATAGATACTTGCTCTCTGTAACCCTCTCATTTTTAGTACCTATCTTCAGTGTTTACTTTGCTAAGAGCTTCTTGATAGGCATACATCTTTGCAATCTCAGATCAATATACTACAAATACATATATGATACAGTTAAGAAAATGATATTTCTCTTACAACTTTTTATATGGGTTTTATAAACAAGAGATCAACTGAAGGGTTACGCAGCGACCAATGGCGAAGGTAGAGACAAAGATACTACAATAGGGACGATAAATATGACACGATATATACAAAGGAGATGCCTGTTTCTATACCATTGAAATTTTACGTACATAACTACTTCAAAGAGCAAGATGACTTACTTGATAGGTAAGAGATATGGTAAGAGATTATATTTTTCAATTATTTGTTTCCAACTACGAAAAACTCCAGTGACATACAATCTAAAAGCATGAATATGTCATAAAATCAAGAATACAACAAAAACCAGGAAGATGGGCCCAAATTAAAGTCCGAAACTAGACGTGGGGAACCCACGGACAGTGGCGGTCAGAGCGTTACAAATATGAAAGAAACAAGGAAGCGTGAATATGTCATAAAACCAAGAGTACTACAAAACCAAGAAGATGTGCTCAAAGAACGAAACTGGACGTGGGAACCCACAGACAGTGGCGGTCGTGGCATTACAAATATGAAAGAAACGAGTAAGCATGAATATGTCATAAAATCAAGAGTACGACAAAACAAAGAAGATGGGCCTAAAGACCGAAACTGGACGTGGGGAGCCCACGGACAGTGGCGGTCGGGGCGTTGCTAATATGAAAGAAACGAGTAAGCATGAATATGTCATAAAATCAAGAGTACGACAAAACAAAGAAGATGTACCTAAAGACCGAGACTGGACGTGGGAACCCATGGACAGTGGCGGTCGGGGCGTTGCTAATATATTGTTGGTTTAAATATATAGATTTTTTATATTTAATTCTATTATATATATCAAGATATAAACACTAATAATTGTTTGTGATTCAAAAACACTATTAATTGTTGATTACTAATAATATATATCAAAAGTTATAGCGTTTTACCATAATTCTATATTAATGTCGTTATAAAAATTAGACTCTTGACAAAATTAATTCAATAAATATCCCTAACTTGATAACCCTAAATATTAATTATTAATTCTGGTCTTAATCAACATACAACCCCGCGCTGGGCGCGGGGACCTCCCCTAGTATGACATTAATTATGTTGTTGAGTTCCAACATGACTTTGAAACATTGAAACTTGTGAATTTAATTGAATGAATTTGATATCCTACAAAATAATGTAATTTCTTCTAAATCAATGTAAGTTACTATTTTATAATTTTGGGAGTGATATTTGAAGCTAATATAATCGATTTTGTGCAAGTTTTTATTTTATTTTTGATAAAGGCGATTTTGTGTAAGATGATCAATGGAAATATTCGATATCAATATTAGATTTTATTCATATTGTATGTTGTTCATATTGGTTTCATTTATGATATGGCTAAGTGACATATCCAATTTGTGAAAATCCTGTGCATAATCAAATACCTTAAAGGTATTGTATACAAGGTATGAATGTACGATGATGAAATGATACTACAATTTTGTATGTTATTATACTAATGCTATCCATATCCAATGTTTTTTGTTTCGTTAGGACCTATGTGTTTGTGAACATAGATATCTTATTATTAATGTGATCCGTATCTAGTGCTTTTTGAGTTTGAAGGGACTTGCTAAGACACACAAAACAGATGGAATGATTGCAGTCGATGGTTATGAAGGGTTTTTCTTTATCGCAAGAAGGGCAAAATTCAGTATCCATATCCCCATGATCTTCTTCTTCTTCATTCTCAAGCATGGATGCATCGAGGATCTCAGTCGCCTTGTTCAAATCAGCCTTGATACCCTCCTCATCCCAATCATCTTGAATGAGAAGGAATAATGCTTTAATCTCACTTAAATTGTGTCTTGGCGAAATTCAGAATAGTTTTTGTGAGAACAATATACTGCAAAAGAAAGAAAGAGACAGAGACATAGACCTAACTTAGAGGTAGGCTTCAAATTAGGAAACGGAATTATGAACTATTAAAATCCATAAATTTAATCCCAATCTCCCTAAATCTACTTCCATAATCTAAATACATTACTTGCAGGCCGGTTCTAAAAAGCTGAAAAAATAATTAGCGCTAATTTCCTATGTATTTTTATAAAAAAAAAGTTTTGGACCCTAATTTTAATAAATTTAGTTAAAAAAAAAAAAAACAAAATTAGATGGACCCAGTGCATGAACACCCCCGCACATAGATAGAGCCGGTCTTTTATAATAATTAAAAACTTACTATACCCTTAATTAAAACATTTAGAATAAACGAAATATGGACATACTTGGCTGCTAGTATCATCTTCACGCGTATAGTCTATATATATGCATACTTGGAAATTGCAATGTCTCATAACACGTACAGTTGTTTTAATTATAGAACAATTTTAGGACATCATGTTGCACTTTCTTCTACATTAAGACTAGGATTAACCATATTTGTTTCCCTTTGTTTAGTTTGTTCTTAAGATTAAAAAAAAAAAAAAAAAAACAATAGGGGCACGTGGCAGCATCGGCGTTAAAAAGCATGTGGCGTAGACTCGCTCTCCTTTCTCCTTCCCCTTCTTCTTCCTCCACCGCCTCACGCATCTCTCTGTTTCTGTGGTTCTGTTTCTGACTTTTTGGTAATGGCGGAGACTTGTTCGCTTCTCTTCTCTACCTTCTCCTCTCACCTCACGATCTCCCCTTTTCGCCACTCTCATCCCTCCGCCGCTCGATTCTCATCTCTTCTTTCCCGCGTTCGGCCATCTCGATTCGCCGTAAAGGCATCACATTATGGTAGCTTCTCCGATGACGATTCTTTCAACTTCTTCCCATGGTTGAAGAAAACTAGGATCTCTTATGATTAGAAAAGTCAGATACATGATTTAAATCAAATTAGGACTGATTTAAATCAAATTAGGACTGATTTAGAATTCAAAGTTAGGGTGATCTGACTTGTTTGATCATTCGTGAATTATGTAACTAAACCGGAACCGGTTTTTTGAGACATTTTGCATTTCTTGTGCACAAATTCTGTGTGAATTTTGGACTAAGGATCAATGGAGTTACTGATTCAAGTGATTGCTTTGTTTTGTACAGAGATTGAATGGGTTCCTGAAGAAAGAATTACACTTTTCACTACTGATGGACTAGTTCAGATTGGAGGCAATATGTCTCACAAGTTCAAAAACTAGTCAGAATGTAGAACCGGTTTCAAATGTTTATTGGATGAGATTGTTTTCTGTGTCTTCTTTCCTGGAATGTCTCACAAGTTCAAAAACTAGTCAGAATGTAGAACCGGTTTCAAATGTTTATTGGATTTTGTGTTTCCTTGGTTTTGATTAACATATTTGTGTCATGTGTGTGTTCTTGCATGAAATTTCTGACTAGTAATTACTAAAAGGTAGTCACAATGTAAAACAGGTTTTGAGATTTCTTAGCTTTAGTTGTGTAATTACTCGCCCATCGTGCTTTCATTTTGCTTACGTGTACTTTTCTCCGGGAGTATGAATCATATGCTTTGTGACAGAAGAAACATGGGAGATCCAAATCTCCAGAAAAACATCAAAAGTTTCAAGAAAGTGCCTACATGGATCCCGCTCAAGGTCTATGTCTTGGAGCTCTTTTCGACATCGCAGCTACAAACGTACGCACCACTTCCTATATTTTGGTTTGTTAAACTAGACAACAGAGGTAATGTAGTGCATTGTATAAAACAATGTCAGGGACTGGATATGGGAAGAAGACTATGTATCTTTGGATTCTGTCGTTCTGTTGAGATGCTTAGTGATGTTGTTGAAGACACTGTTTTAGAACACGGTGGAGAGGTTTAAGTTTACCATGAAATCTCTTTCTCTCACTCTTAACTTTGTTGTCTAATTGAATCAGTACTTTGTGTTTTAAAGATTGTAGCTACAGAGACAGAGAGCACAAGCGGTTTACAAGAGAAGCTAACGATGACAGTGGCAGTTCCATATCTCTGGGGGGTTCCTCCGGCTGCAGAAAGGCTTCATCTTGCGGTTCGAACCGGTGGAGGCATCGTAGACAAAGTTTATTGGCAATGGCATTTCTTGTGATATTCACATATTTCTCCAAAACATTGGCTCTAACTCACAACCACAAGTGTTTATATATCCCATTCATTGTACAGAACCATTACATTTGTTATAAATTCCCCTTAATCCCATAATTTATATCATCAATTAAATAAAAGGAAGGTAAGTTATCCTTTAATTTTAAAATCTAGAATAATGCGTGATTTAGAGCCAATGTTTAATGATTGTTGTGAATGGTTCACAAATTTCTCAAAACATTGGCTCTAACTCACAAGTGTTTATATATCATTCATCAATTTTGAACTAAAAAAACAAATTGATCTATGCAAAATGTCAAAGTTCAAAACATTACATAAACTCTAGTTCTTGTCTTTACTAGGATTTACTTTATTCCTTTGTATCTCAATTCCAAAATACTATAAATAGTCTTGTGCTTGAGTATGAGCTTTCCGTAGCTATCTTCTTGTATATGACTTTGCAGAATTTGTCATATTAGACTTTCATAGCAGCAATAGAAGCCAATAGTCAATGATAGCACTTGTCTATTTTTTTTTTTTTTAACTCATGACTTGTCTAAATTTTTATATTAGAAATTTAGTTGTAGACCCAACATTAATTCTTGTCACTAATATTTATCAGTCGATGTAATAGTAGTGTTTCAATGAATTATTAAATTATAGCACAATGATAGGCATCTTTTACAGAGAGGCAATGTCGTACCTTTTGTCAAGTTCCTCTCCACTCAAATTCTAACGCCATCTTTCCTCATTCCCTTATAGTTGAGACTATTCAAACTACAAAATATAATGATCATACATGTACATTAATACTATATGTTAGTGATTATTTAAATAGTGACGATTCTTTATTTTCTAATTCGTCGGTCGAAGAAGGAAACAAAATTTGACGGAGAAGTTAATTATAAAATTGTGCCAATATAATGCTATAGTAAAATATCGAGCCCAATCTTGATACGACTTCTCTTACTGGTATTAAGACCAGCCATACAAGATAATATACGATTGACGACCAGTTTCGATGGAAGAATATTATAGAGTCGAGAAATGAGAATTTTAAAATTTAAGAATAGTTTGAATTATTTTTGTGATCTATATTATATTAAAATGACATAGTAGACGTGGTGGTGTGGATTGGATATATTATAACATATATATATATATATATATATATATATATATATATATATATATATATATAATCGGACGTCTTTGATCAACGATTGGTTGTTTAATTACATATTACATATTCAGTGTATACAAAGAGCATGTAAAGAAAGAATAATACCGTAAAGAAATGCAAGTGGGAATAGTTTTAGTTTTCGAATTAAAATGGTAAGATACAAAGTATGTGTGCATGTGTTTTAATTTGTGTTTATTGATAAGATTGAGATTCCCTAATGAGGTTGAGGGGAACAATACAAGTTAGCATACCAAATACTCTGATCTTTTTTAATAAAGCAAAATTATTACAGTATTGTTATGATAAATTAATATAAATTTTAAAAATATTGAGAGACAAACATTTTTTCTAATTAAGAGAGTTCAACTTTGTACGACAATTCAAAGCTAATTTTTGAATATTTTCAATGAATTAACAGTACAATGAAAAAAATGAAATAATTAGAACATGATGCGACATTATTACGATATGATAGTTTTTTTGTTTCACATGTTTTTCATGGTAGATCTAAGCCTTATTGGCGGCCATAGAAATGTTTTCTTGATCACTAAATTTTTTACGTAAGAGTTGTGTAGGTTCAACAAATTAGAGTTCTCATTCACAATAAAAATATCAATTTAAACTCATGAATCACGTTTAAACTCCTCAAAAACAAGTTTTAGTAATTAATTAATCTTCAGTTTTTATAAAGAAAAAGAGAGAGAGAGGGAGAGAATATAGAGATTAAATCAAAGTTGGTAAGAGGGATCAATAGTACAACATGAACTTATCCTCTGTCTTGTTTTCGTCAAACCACAAGCTATTGTTACTACTCGTACAACTACTACTTATTAATTGCTTGATCTCCTCCATTCCATAATCTTCCATAACTACCGAGCTCATTGATCTCTCATCCTCTTCATGATGATGATGATGATCAAGATGTTCCATCTTCACTCTTGTTACTGTACTCGTTGTACTCGACCCACTTCTTACATCACTCAACAACATTATTCCATTGTTTGTACTTTGCTCCTGGCTGTGTTCTTGATGGCTCATTATGAACTTGTTGCTGTTTGCGGAATTTACCAAACTGCCCATGTCTTCTTGATATAATAGTTGTTGTTGTTGTTGGCCCATCATTGTCATCATCATACCCTGAGGTGTGAGAAGTTGGTTTGTTGATACTGATGGGTTATACGGAAGAAGACTATTGATCATGTTGTAATGTGATGGTGATGGTGATGATGATGTAGCAGTGGCTAAATGGTGATGTGAAGGAGGAGCCATGGAGGCAATGAGCTTCTTCTTGAGCTTAGTGTTCCAATAGTTCTTGATGTCATTATCAGTTCTACCTTGCAAGTGAGCTGCTATTACTGACCACCTGCATTTTCAATAATTACTCATTTATGTAACCACAATAAGCTAAATAAAAATAATTTGTAAGCTTAAATCTTCAATAGTTTTCAAAGTGAATTTGCTTCCACTTTTTTTTTTTGGGCTAATTTATGAACTAAAGAATATACCCACAAAAGGAGGCAATTATACTGCACAAAAGGTGGGTTTGTAAAAGCTAAAATCAATGAAAGAAATTATTTTTTAATTAAGGAACAAAAAAAACAATTGAGATTGAATCTTCCTTGAAAAACATGCAAAGTCTTTTCTTTTCTTCTGATACCCACTTTCTTCATTTCTTTCACATGATTTAAGCAAGTGTAATCTTTTCATCTAGCCAGACCAAGATAATTAGTATTGGAAAATAACTATTTCTACTAAGACTTTCTTAACCTGCTTCCAATGGAGGCATAAAGGCTGTAGATAATCTTGTCTTCTTCCTCAGTGAAGTCTCCATGTCTTATGTTTGGTCTCAAATAATTTAACCATCTCAGTCTGCAACTCTTCCCACATCTCCTTAAACCTTTATTCATCATATTACAAAAGTTTTTTTTTTATTTTTTAAAAAAGTAACCAAGACCCATCAATATTGAAAAATAGAAAGAAAACAGTCAAAAATCCATAATATTAAGCCATTCGGATCATGAGTAGTATAAAAGTACCAGCTTTGTGAGGGAGAGCAATCCAATTGCCACCAGTGCCTTGTTTCTCGATGTAATCTTTAAGCTTTGCATCTTCTTCAGGAGACCATGGACCTCTCTTCACATTTTCCTTGTCACAACATGGAGCCCTACCCATCTCTCTAACTGTCTCTCTTGGTCTATGTGTTTTGGTTGAGATATCTTTGTTTTGTTTTTTGAAAGAGAAGAAGGGAAAAGAAAAAGAGTTCTCTGGTTCTGTAATTATCAAAGATAAAGACATCTATTTATTGCTCTATGTATTGGAAACGCCCAAGTCAATGAAAAACCTATTTTCTATTTTCCTTCCATTATGCTTTTTCTCCTCTCCCCATGTGGATTACCTTCATTATTATAATATCTATATGTAGAGGGAGAGATAGAAATAGTGTATATGAAATTTTTAGTTGTGTTTTTGGTCACCAAAGCAAAACAAGAACAGCTGGTCTAAGTTGTGAATAGTGGAGAAAAATATTAGAATGAGCAAAACAATTTTGTGAAGAAGAAATTCATAAATACTAATTAATAAGCTCTTTAATGCTCTTTTATTTTAAGAAATTGGACAAATGTTTGTGGGAAGAAAACAAATTGAACAAATGGTTTAAAGTTTTTTTCTTTAATGTCCACATTACGATTGAACATGCATGTTTGTCTCTTGAAGAGACTAAACAACCTTTTATCGATTGAGTGAACCGGTTTTTGGTCTGTATTGGATTAAACCAAATCGAACCAACCAAAAGTCAGAACCAACATGAAATGTTATGTTTAGTTTAACTATATATCTGGTATACAAAACTATACTGTGATAAATATTTAAAACGTAAAACTGGTGGTGCATGCAGAGTCAACATTTATGGTGTTTATTTTTCTTCGTACACTACCAATAAATAAAAGGAAATAGTTCATGGACAGCAACAAGGTAAGTGATAAGGAAAGAAAAATCAAGAAAATAAAAAGAAAAGTTGACATTAAACCAAAAATTAGAGAAAGGGTGAAAGTGATGTGTATTTATTTTCCAAAAAAAACAAGTGAAAGGCTTGACTAAGTCATTTCCCACACGACATTGTCAAAGTGATTGATCCCGAGGCCACCACACATACATATATTCTTATGGGAAGAATTTGTGTGTATATATAATAGTAAGATATAATAACATAAACTAAGCATTTATGTATACAATGGCGAAATAAATTTGGATGTTTATGGCGCAGCGGTTTAAGTTGGTAAGTTGGTGTGGCACTTTTCAAAACAATATTTATGAGGATTTCCAAAACATGAAAAATATAACTTGGTTACACTCGTTTCTAAATGTTGAGAGAGTTAACACTAAAAAAAAAAAAAACACTTAACACTTTGCAAATCAGTAAGCTCTACGAGACTATGATATCACCCCATAATCTTTATCGCATCACACTTCATATGCCAAAAACGCATTACTTAACAGTCACACACACACAATATATATATATATTTTTTTTTTTTTCACACACACAATATGATGAGTCTTTGCTTCTGATATATCCGTTTGAGTTCAATTGTCAACTTGTGGATTGTTATATTATTGGTTTAGGATATTTGTTTCTTATAATCTACACATTTTTAAAAAGGTTGAACAATAGTTTTACCTAAAACTATTTCAGTAAAAGTATAGTTGTCTTTTAATTTGGCATTTTATTTATCACTTTTTTTGTCAACCTTTTATATCACTCTTTTTTTAAAAATCTATTTTGTTTTTAACTTACAAAATATGGTTTCATTTGGAGAAAAAGCACCATCTTGACATGTAGAAGTAAGAATATAAACAAACCGCATATGACACAATTACATCTTGTATGAAATATATTTTAACAGTAGAGTACTCCAGTTTATAATGTATTACATCTAAAATAAAAGTTTATAAAAAGTTCATCAACGAATGCTTATATATTGTTACATTTTAATGATTTATACTACCAATAATTAGTCTATATAATTATTGAGATGGAGTCCCTACCCCCAAAAGATTTCTCAGTGACTTCATATGGTTAGACCTAGAGGTCGAAATCTATCTACCAATATTTTATCAAATACTCAAATCTAATAATTGATAAAGGGGCTCTTTTAATAACATACAAATAATATGCATCTGTCGTAACATTCCACTCAAATAGGTGCCTCCCCTGACCCCTATCATGTAAATGTAGACGTGTATAATGGAAAATCGCCTTGAGATGTTAACATCTACGATTATGAATTATTGACACGTTACTATTCAATATAATACAAGTATTATTCGATGCATACTAGATATGAAGAAGAATGAACAATTCTTAAAAACACAATGTTAAATTGTTGATTCATTTCTTAAAAATTCATATAAAAGTTTATTATAACAGCAACTATACATTATACCAAAGTCAAAGTAATAGATTACTTGTTGGTTTGACAAACCGTCAAAAGCCTCTAAACGAGTTAGAGGGTTTCAAATTTTAAGGCTCACGTGTGACTCTCACGTGGGGAATCGGGCGTGTTGAGACCACGAGAAAAAAGCGTAAAACGACAGCGTTTAACATTAACGTCGTGTCACTTTCTTCACCTTTCTCAGACTATCTCCTTCCCTACCACTTCCCTCACTTTACCAACACAACACACTAAGCTCAGAGTCAGAGCTCTCTTCTCCAATGGCGGCAATCACCGGATTCTCCGCTCTTTCAAGCCCTATTTCTCCTCCTCCGTCACTTCCGGTATCGCGTTTACTCAATTCCACTCAGTGTCTCTCCAGATTCTCAAATGTATCTCCGTTTCCCGCGCTCTCTACTTCTCGCCGGAGAAAGATCCCGTTGACTCCGGCGTGTTCTTCGATACGCAACGGAGACGAATCAGTTGAAGCAAGAGGTGATGATGAGAATGAGATTAAAGAGACATTGATGTTATCAGTCTCTCCTTTGCCTCTCCTCCTCGTTGCTTCTCTCCCTGGAGGTAATAACCCGCACAACTTCCCAGCTCCAATATTCAAAAAAGTTTGGAGCTTTAAGTAACAATTAGTGAGATTATTAGTTTATTCATGAGTACTGTGGGTTAGTGTCACATGTTAGAATCCAAATCCAAATTGTTTGTTTCTCTGCCTGTCAAAAAACAGTTAGATCAAGAATGTTGTAGCAAGAAACTGGTTTTGTTAGATTACATGAGTATGCTAATTTCTGTCTCTTTTGGCAGCTGAAACTGTAACATCTGTTTTTGGACCTGTTGTGGAGATTGTAAAATCCTTGAATCTACCTGATTGGCTTGTTCATTGGGGACATCCAGGGAACATGGTATGACTGGTTACTCACTAGCTTAAGCTTCTTTAACTTTTGCCTCATCTGCAATATTCCACAAACTATGTGTACTAAAACTATGCCCCCTTTTGAACTTGTTCTTGTTTTGTTATGAACATATTTCATCTGTACTTGTGTGTGATGGGTTAAATTTGTTATCTGTTTTCTCTCAGGCAGTTGTACTTTTTGCTATGGGTGGCTATGGAACATACTTAGGCTTCCGGATTCGTTATTCCGATGATATTGTAAGACACTTTTAACCAAGTAATCTGGCTATAGTATTACAAGCACCGTTGTTGTTTAAAGAGCGTTCTGTTTTCTTCATTTGCTTTGAAATGTCAGGAGGAGAAGGCAAAGGCAAAAGACCTACACCCGAAGCTTCTAGCCGGAATGTTTTTCTTTTTCGCTCTTGGAGCAACTGGTGGTGTCATATCCCTTCTTACTTCTGACAAACCCATCTTCGAAAGGTATCTTTTTTTCTTACATAGTAAACTCTCATTTATAGATTCCAAACTTGTACACACAAAACACTAATTTTATGCTATCAAGAAGATCTCATTTAGCTTCGTAATGAGATATCAATTGGGGCGACTGATATGGTTGTGAATTTGTGCAATGTAGTCCGCACGCTGTTACAGGACTTATAGGTCTTGGCCTATTGACGATTCAAACAATCTTACCTTCTTTGTTTAAGGTAAACTACAATGCACGATTTTGCAATGTGGAACCTTAACGATCAATATAGTTTTAGGATCGAGAAACTCATTGTTTCAAAAATGTGCAGGAGAAACCTGAACTGAGGAATGTGCACGGGATCCTCGGGAGTGGAATTATGGCGCTTTTCCTCGTCCATGCTGCTTTCGGCCTTCAGCTCGGTCTCAGTTTCTGACTATTCTTCACTGATCTCTTCTCTTATGTTTGTATTTTTTCAGCTGCAACAACAAACGTTTGTTTTTTTTTTTTTTTCTTTCTTTTCCTTATTAGTATAAAGTCTTAAAATTTAATAAAAGAAGATATATAGAGGGAAAAAGCTTGTAAAATATTGTGAAAAATTGTCTACGTATAATAAATATTTTTCTTTATTATAAGCATTTTTGGGTTTTTCGCTTCTATTAATGAGTTTTAGTTTTTAGATTTTATTTTGAGAAAGAAAAACAATAGTAAGCTAGTTTTTCTTCTTCTTCTTCTACTAACAAAAGCCCAACATAAGGCAAAAATGAAAACTTAGCTTCTCGACTCTATATAAGTTTGAAATGCGAAAAATTAAAATAAACACCATCACCAACCAATACCTTAATATGAAAAGAAAATTAATCCCTTTTAGTTAAAAATAGATTTTATTTTTATAAAAAAAAAATCTAAACCACTCCTTGATTGATGCCAGCATGGTCCATGTGGTATCTATCCAAAGGATCCGGTTCGAATACATATCCAAGATCCAATATTCGATGTCGATTCCGGGTCGGATCTTGTCTTCTCACCAACCACACCCATACCTACGACAACGGGGTTGGTGAGATTGCATTAGTTAGCTATATCTCACCATCCATGTCTACTTCATTAAAAGATCAACGGTGTAAAAACATGATAACACTGTACACCAGAAAACACGTGATCATAGCTTGGGCAACAATATAAACGGAAGAGAGGTGAAGCACGAGAGAAGAGCGGGCAAACAAACAGAGAGCGAGTCACGCGCCGAGTTTTTCTCACTTGTTCTCCATTTAAATCTCTCTCTTTCTTCTCTCTCGCTTTCATTTTTCTCCTCCAGATCTCGATTCCAATCTCTCTCTCTCTACTTCGTTTAACAGGTTTGTTTTCTCCGATTCATTGTTATTGCTCTTTCTTCGTTAGATCTCTTCATTTTTGTTTCGTAGATTACGTTGGCCGTGTTCTTTTCACTGTCACCGTCCGGCGACCGTAATCACTCGTTTCCAGATTTGAAATCATTGTTAGATCTGACGATTCGAAGTTGATTCTTCGTATTTCGTTAGCTTAAATTGTTTGAATCCGATCAGAAATTGATGGAATTAGATTCTGTTACTGGAAATTTTCGGAATCATTCTGCAGAAACTGTGTCGGTGGAAGTGGAACTCTACTCTTTTTTTTTTTTTTTTGAATTTTCTTGCTGAAATGTTCAAATCCCGATCAGAAATGATGGAATTAGATCTGGTAACTGGAGAATTCGGGATCTTCAATTGTGTCGGTGGAACTATGCGATTTTTTTTAGGAATTTTGAATTTCTGTTGGTATAGTTTTAGTGTTGATGTTGTTTTTGTGTGTGTGTAGAAATGGAAACCTTCCTATTTACCTCTGAATCCGTCAATGAGGGACACCCAGACAAGCTTTGTGACCAGGTTTCTGATGCGATCCTCGATGCTTGCTTAGAGCAGGACCCTGAAAGCAAAGTGGCCTGTGAGACATGCACCAAGACCAACATGGTGATGGTGTTTGGTGAGATCACTACCTCTGCCAAAGTTGACTATGAGAAGATTGTTAGATCTACTTGCAGGGAGATTGGGTTTATCTCGGCCGATGTTGGTCTTGACGCTGACAAATGCAATGTTTTGGTTAACATTGAGCAACAGAGTCCTGATATTGCTCAGGGTGTTCATGGTCATTTGACCAAGAAGCCTGAAGATATTGGTGCTGGTGATCAGGGACATATGTTTGGGTATGCTACTGATGAGACACCTGAGCTTATGCCGTTGACTCATGTCCTAGCCACCAAGCTTGGTGCTAAGCTCACTGAAGTGAGGAAGAACAAGACTTGCCCATGGTTGAGGCCTGACGGTAAGACCCAGGTCACAGTGGAGTACAAGAACGATGGTGGAGCTATGATTCCGATTAGAGTCCACACTGTTCTCATCTCAACTCAACATGACGAAACTGTCACCAACGACGAGATTGCTGCTGACTTGAAGGAGCATGTGATCAAGCCTGTTATCCCTGCTAAATACCTTGACGATAACACCATCTTTCACTTGAACCCATCTGGTCGTTTTGTCATCGGAGGGCCTCATGGTGATGCTGGACTTACTGGGAGGAAGATCATCATTGACACTTATGGTGGCTGGGGTGCTCATGGTGGAGGTGCCTTCTCAGGAAAGGACCCAACCAAGGTTGACAGAAGCGGTGCCTATATCGTGAGGCAGGCTGCAAAGAGCGTGGTAGCAGCAGGACTCGCACGCCGCTGTATCGTGCAGGTATCATACGCCATTGGTGTGCCTGAGCCGCTCTCAGTGTTTGTTGACACCTACAAGACCGGGACCATCCCAGACAAGGATATCCTTGTGTTGATCAAGGAAGCATTTGACTTCAGGCCGGGAATGATGGCCATTAACCTTGACCTGAAGAGGGGAGGTAACTTCAGGTTCCAGAAAACCGCTGCGTATGGCCATTTCGGGCGTGATGACCCTGACTTCACTTGGGAGGTCGTCAAGCCGCTCAAGCCAAAGGCCTAAACATAAACAAAGCTGGCAGTTGCAAGAATTGAGTTGAGTCACTCCCTAACTACTGGGAACTTATCATGATACCATTATTATTGCAAATGATTGAATAAAGCTTCTGCATTTTCATCAGATCTCTATAATTCCCACCATTCACATTTGTTTTCGCGAACACGAGGCCAGCGGGTCATATATCTGGTAATCGAAGATTGCAAATGAAAGATTTGAGTTTTATGTTTTGAATTTTTGCCTTTTTTTCCCCTCTTAATCTCTTGTATTGTAATTTTGATTGTGTAACCAAGATATCCATCCATCGTTGTGATGTTTAAAAAAAAAAAAAAAAAAAAATCATGCAAGTGAGCAATCCGTTTTTTTTTTTTTTTGTTGAAACTGAAATGAGCAAGTGAGCAATCTTTGACCTGTAGAAAAAGTAGAGAAACTGAAATGAGCAAAAACAAGTATGAGAGTATGTTGGTGATAATCCAAAAGTAGGTCGTTTTGGCTAACAAGATGAAACCAAAATTGGAAGTCAGAATCAAAAAGGTGAAGTGAGTTATTTCTAACCTGGAAGAGGTCCTGTGGAATGAATCTGAAATGAACTTTTTAAACTCTACTTAAAAGATAGAGTATGTGACCAAGAGCAAACTCAGGCCCTTCTCCATCCTCAAACTGGCCTCCCCAAATAACCATTTATACGTCTTGTTATTACTGCAACTCTGAGATTTGCTACAGCTTCATCTTTTGCTTTGCCAGCTCCAACTCTTGTCCTAAGAGAGCACTCATCTGAATCTTTTCCTAATTATTTGAGTTTTACATACAATTCTTTTCATCGGGTGCATCTAAATGCTATACGTAGATGCAAAGATCAATATTGCAAACGCATAAGATCTTGATGCTAAATCTGAATGTATAATCCATATACAGAACAGACTGGACCACCACTAATAATATCATATAAGGTCAATTTCACAAAAAAAAAGAAAAAAAAAGGGCTCAGAGGTCCACAATGCCTCTCAAAACCTACTTAATGTAGCAATTAGTCTGTGGCTCTGTGCTATGCCCAAAGCAGTGTCACGACGATAAATAGCATCAAAGCCAGACCAAGACATATCCCAAGATTCCCAACAAGTGCGCCAAAAGCCTGTCAAAAGCAATGCATCCACAAGTTAATCACACTTTCATCACCATCATCATCTACATATGTTTACCTATGGATGGAGAAGAGCAACAACGCAAAGGTCGCAACTGTTTTCTCTCCTCCAGACAGCTGTTCCATGTAACAAATATATTGAGCGAGGGATGTGAACATATGCATACGATTTTGTGAACGTGTGAAATATGAAACTGGTGAATTGTCCCAAACTAGCTTCTTAATCTTTAACTCATTTTAGGTTATTCAACAAATTATCCCTCAATTATTATTTTATTTTTTCGTTTGGTTTGATTTTTTTATATATATTGGGGATGGTTTGATTTAGGATAATGCAAGATATATCTCTCTTTTTTTGTCAACTATGCAAGATATATCATTTGTTACAAAAACAGACCATTCAATTTGAAACAAAATCAAACTAACGGTACCAAACTAAACGTGGGTTACATTTTTTATATACAAAGAAAAAGTGAAACAAAAACGAAAGGACCAAACCAAAGTGGGTTACATTTCGAGTTAAACGGTACTCACCACTCAATTTGGTTTCATCTAGTTAACCAGAGCCCAAAACGACTACTTTTGGTTTTAGGTTCATAATTTCTTTTTCCTATATTTTTTTTTTTGCGGCAAAACTATACTATTGCGTTTCTATAATGTTTTAATCTAATCTAAGAAAACTGTAGTGAATAGTAATAATTCTCTAGCCTTCGATCATTACCAAAACGATGGTGCTTCTAAGCTACACCAAGTTTTGACTTTGTATAATAATGCAAGATATATCTTTTTTTTGTCAACTATGCAAGATATATCATTTGTTACAAAAACAGAATTTGTAAAGAGAATGTATGTTTTTGACAGCAAAGGATAAAGAAAAACACCAGAATGTGGATGAAATCTATCTTAGAAGATAAGTCATAGTCTTTTATGTCCGTACATTATATCACCTACCAATCATTACGTGTAGCTTGGATTTTAGATTTCAGATTTCTCGATTCTGGTTTCCAAAACGTCACAAACAAAGAACAATTAATTCTGCAAAAAAATAGATTTAAATGTAGAAAAAAAGAAAGAAAGAAATGGATTTGATTAGAAAGCCATCGATCACTCAAGTATTGATTTTGTCGTGTGGCATGTATTGTGGTGCAAGCATCCAAAGTCTCATAAATTATTATCAACACTAACATGACCTAACGTTCTTCAATTATGTACATGTTGACATGGTTCTTTTATATTTTATCATTTATGCATCCAAGTGTGTTTAAATCAAGAGTCAAGACACTCTCCTCTCAGACTCCCACGTACGCTAGCTACACACAATAGTTTAATATATACATTACCTAGATCATAATTGATG